TTCTCATAAGCTCTCACAATCCAACCTACTGTCATTTGAATCTGTTCTAAAATACTGTCCCTTTTTCTCATGAAACAGACAAATCCACCACTGTCTCTCATCTGGATGTTATTGGAATTGCTTTTTCTGCACTATTTTAAGTTTTTCTTTTCTTCCTAGGATAATCTCCATCATGCAGTAAACACACTGATATATCAAAACATAAAAATTATACATATTTATGTGGTGCCATGGATTTTGCAATACATGTAAACATCTTGTAGTGTTTACAAATCAGATTGAACATATCTATCTCTTAAAATATTCAGAATTTCTTTATGGTAAAAACATTTCTGAATCCCCTCTTTTAGCTTTTTAAAATATATGCAAAATAACTGTTTCTTGTTGTCTTAGTAACTTTTTCCTTATTGCTGGGACAAAATACCCAGCATCCACAATTAAGGAAAGAAAGGTTTATTAGCTCAATTAGTGGAGGTTTCAGTCCATACTCAGCTGGCTCCAAGGCAGAGTGGCACAAGGCAGAGAACAACTGATCATGGTGGTGGAAAACAGCAAAAAGCCAAGGGAGGGGCAGCAGTTGTGGCCTCTCACAAACCTCTCTCCTCTCCTCACATTGTTACCCAGATTACTCGCCCCAGGGCAGGAATAGCACTCACACTCACACCCATAATCCATTGGATCACGAATTAATCACAAACTCTAGAAGCTGCCCCATAACTGCATGAGGCTCTGCGGGGACAACTACTCGTAAACCATAACACCCATAGACACCCAAATGTGAACTAGCACAACAGAACTTCTAGTTGTAACTTTGTACCCATTGATCAACCTCTCATCTTTCCCTCTATCAGCTCCTCCACAACCTCGGGTAATCACCATTCTACTCTCAACTCCGAGGAAATTAAATTGTTTAGATTGCATGGGGATGAGGTTAATCTGTACAAATTTCATGTGATTGATCAGTCAGTTTTATATCATTGTGATGACCACCTGAGATAAACAACTAAAGGAAGACAAGTTCATTGTGCCTTTGGTTTTCACAGGTCAATGTTGAGCTTTTTTTGTTTGATTATTTTTAATAAAATAGACTGTATTTTCATAATTTAAGAATACGATTATAAGTAAACTATATTTCTATATAACTAAGGTGCTGTCCAAAGAGCTACAACACTATTTAACAAATAGTGAATCTGCTATTCTAGTAATAATTTTATTTTTAATTTACCTTGTCTCTGAATGAATAGCTACTCTAAGGAAAAGGAAATAAAATGACATTATTTCCCTCCTTCTCATCTTTCTGAGGTAGAGATTGAACCCATGGCCTCAAATGCTTGGCATATATTCTACCACTGAGCTGAAACTAGCCTGGAAATAACATTTCTTAAGTATCAACTCTGTGCCAGGATTCTCTCAGGTATCTTATATGCATTATTTATTTAACTGTGTAAAACACATTTTAGTTCTAAAAATTTATGTAAGACCTCTTAATCTAAATGCATTTATTGAAGATACCATAATGTGTTACATTCCCAATTTCCATTAAACTTTCCTAAACTTGCGGTTGCCATAACTTGCTCTATTGGTTGAGGTAAGCTTTCTGAAATGAATACATCATTTACTATACAAGTGACAAAGTGATTTTTATATGCTTTTACAATGCCTGATAATTTCAGTTCTGTTATTCTTGCCACGAAGAAAAACAAAATAGCTAGAATTTTCTTTAGCTCATATATAGCAGAAGTATTTGGTTCTATTCCTAGAGCACCTCTTAGGTGTATTTCTTCATACTTTTTCCTATGCTCATATTACTATGTTACGCTATTATTTATCATGCTCAAAATCATAATCTGTATACTTCAGAGGTTTCTGTACATAACTACATGTTCTGACAATTAACACTTTAGAATACGAAAGCAGGGCTGTGTGTCATTTTACCACTAAACATATAAATTCAAGTTTGATAGGCTTTTAGAGAAACATGGCTGTCTTCTAAGTTAAGACAACCTAGTTAGAGAATCTTGACCTGACACATCAAAGACCTTTCATGTCCCATAGCTGACGTTAAAAGTGAAGGAACTTCCTGTAGAAGTCAAGAAAATCATGTGGTACTCCTGATCAGTAACTTACCTTTGGACCTGGTAATCCAGGCAATCCAGGATTTCCATGTGGCCCTGGTATACCCTGCAAATTTTGAAAAAGATTTATTCTTCTTGGAATAGATAAATACAGATACAAATTAGTATTTATTTTCATATTTGAATAAACATTTGTGAAATAATATAGATTAAACATTATCTTTTCCCCCAAATGTTCTTTATGCTGAGATCTCAAATAAGACTAAGCATAACTATACTGGTAACAGAGGAGAGCTACGCTTTCATCTTGTTTCATAACCCTGCCTCCAGCAGTCCGCTTCCCTTAGTCACTGTATTAACTGTAGCCACAGCATGCTGTGTAATGCTGCTCACTCTGGTGCAGACTAAGAAGCCTAACAAAATACGGTCTCAAGAGGCACTGGCCCTTTCCATAGCTGATTTTCACATATACGATAAGCAAGCCTGAGCTACACTTCATTTACCTTACACCCCACACTTTTCCAAATCATTCTTCAAGTTTCAGTTGATATGCCCCACTCATCTCTAAATTCTGGCCATACCAGTATGCAGTAATTTATCTCCATGTTAACTTTTGTAGGAATTACTATACATAAAATTCATTTGACAATTAAATGTATATTGCCTTGGGATACCTCTAATCCATCATTTAGACATTTTTCTGTTATTTTAATTGATTCATGAAATATTCTATTAAATTATAGGATTATCAACTCATTGTAGAGAGACTCATTTTATATTACTAGTGCAGTACTTAGAATGTATTGGTCAACTATAAACATTTGTTAATTTCATTATACCTCACTGATCAACTATACAATTACAATTTGAAAATCAACTCTACTTATTGAGTACTTAATTCTTGTGCTAGGAATTGTATTTATGCCCTATCTTCTCATTTCTAAACTTTAGAACAATCTTGCAAAGTGGTTACAAATGAAATTTAAACTATCATAACCAGTAAAAAAAAAATTGAGAATCAATTTTTTATACAAAGCCTCCAGGTCTCTAGACTTCCTGCACTTAGTACTCCATTTCCATATTCTTTAGCCATACTTTCATCTAAACACATAACATAGAGTTGATAATTATTTTTCTCTTTGGTTCTGTATTATGTAACAAAGCAAAGTGTTTCAGAAAGACAGAGGTATCAGTAACATAAATACTACATTGAAGACATGTATAGCAAGATAAAAACCAAGGAAAAAGATTAGAGTAGCATGTCATTGGTCACCTTCAAAAATATATTTTAATAAATAGGAAAAATTCATGGGAATTAGAATAACTACTTGTTCTTTAGAATTACAATTAAAAGTAATAATTGATTTTGAAGTCAGTAAATGAGTGTTGTTATTTCACAAGGCTCAGCAGTACCACACTGAAGTTAGTGTCTTTCAGAAACTTGTGAAAGTTTGGGATTCTTCAAAGAGGGTAATTTTTTTGGTTTTTGCAAAATGTGGCATAACTTAGGGAGAAGAAAAAAATATGAAACTGTAATTTCCAGGTTAAAAAATGGATTAAAGGGGATGATATTAGGAAGACAATTAGGCTAGTTAGTTTGGAGAAAAACCATACTGTACCTTCTTTAAGGGGAGGAAGACTGGATAAACAAAAGGAGAGATAAAGAATATGAGGGAGGGAAGCTGAGGGAATAGGGGCAGATTCACAACCTGAAAGTCTTCCCATTGGAAGATCAGTCTTAGGAGACAAGAAACGCAGTGCAAAGTTTGGACCCTGAGATAAGTAGGGCCCAAAATTTCCTGGCAAAGAGCTAGGGGATTGGAATGGCCCAGTGCTAGAGAAAAATGGGCAAAGTTTAGAAGCAGTATGAGAAGAGTGTGATAGGACATAATCTAAGGAGAAATTCAGAGACTATTAGCAGCTAGACCTCAGTAGAAATTTATCTTAGATCACAACTACATAAGACAACTCATATTACTATACACATTTACACTAATATTTTAAGTTGATTTTACATTATGTTATTTGTATTCTATACAATAAGGGTAAAAGAAAGTGAATTATATAAAATGCATTTTCATTTATCTTTATAGTACACAATTCTTTTCCTATTTCACTGAACTAAAGCCCTTCTTTAGCAAAAACCCACATTTATTGTTTTTAGGCTGGAAAGAAACCAATTCGAACACAGCAATAAATCTTTTGCTGGACCTGTGTAATGTGAGAAACTACTGCTGGTCCTTAAGGCAGGTTTTTCCTTAAGGCAATTTTTTCCCCAGTCACTAGCTCCAATATTTTCCACTCTGTAACTCAGGAATGCACTGTTTCAAGGCAGCCCAATCCTCTTCATTTCCCAAATGAACCTTACCTTGCACTACTCAGATCGTTTTATAGCTAAGAATAATGTTAAAGTAGCATGGGGACAGTCACTAATCTGTAAATTGGAAGGTCTTTCTTGGACATGTTCACAGAGAATTCCTTGGCTGGCTGTTTGTACTCAAATACACAAGACTGCACGTGTTTTTAAACTCTTGAGTTGGCAGAGATAAAGCAAAGTGTAAAGATCCAGGCAGGTTTCCAAAGGAAGTACATATTGTACAATACTAGCAAAAAAAAAATATGGAAAAGTTACTAATTCTCACATCCAGCAAGAAATGGAGCCTGTATACTTACCCGTGGACCTCTCTTCCCTGATGGCCCTGGGATACCTGCTGGACCAGGTGGACCCTTGCAAAACAAGTATTTAGACATTAGGCATGATAGTAGACATATATTTCCTTACAAGCCTTAGTAAGATTCTCATTCTGGTATAACTTTTTGCATTCCTAATTCCAAGGTTATTTATGATTTTAAGTAAGTTTAATCACCTCATCCGAATCAGCAGGGGTAAATTAAAATTCAAGCATCCTCTTTAATCTGGCCAGAATTGGCAGCAAGAAGTTTATGACTTATGGTTGCAGGCAGAATACCTGGTTTTTACAGAGACCATAACTAGTATTTTTGTGGGTGATTTTTACCTAAATTTACTTTTATTACAGAAGGAGGAATTCAATTTATGGTTTGTAGACCAAGAACTTCAGGTTTTTAAAACTACATTTCATAAAGATTTGCCTTGAGAAATGAAAGCCTCAACCATTTTATGTTCTTTAAAAGCATTGTGCTAAGGATCTATATAATGCATTAACATGCTATGATGGCATTCTTTTTCTATGTGCAGCAATAAATCTTCATTATATCAAATACAGCACATCAGGAAGTCAATAATGAAGTGACTTACAAAATAAAATATGAAAGCAAAACCTAAACAATTGTTAGGGTGCTTTGAGTTCTTCAAATGTTATTCTTAAACTATACCAAGTGACAAACAGGAAACTACTCCTTTACTTCTTCATACAGTGCTTTGTGTTGTGTTTTTTATTTAACAAACAACTATGGAAGAATAAATGCTCACTTGTGATACAGTTGAGCACATATTCATTTCTTCACTCATTTAATTATTACTGGGCACTCTGTTGATTTGGCATTGCTTTGTTTATAATGAATATAAATATTCCAGCTAAGCACTATTCATTATTTCAGTAAATAAGCTTTAAATTAAACACATCGAAGTTAAAATACTTGGGGCCAGGGAGATGGCTCAGTAGAGAAAGTGCTTGCTTGGCAAGCACAAGGGCCTGAGTTCAATCCCTGGTTCCGCCAAAAAAAAAAAAAAAAAAAAAAAAAAGTTAAAATACTAGTCTCATCACTAATGAACAGTGTAACATAATGAATTTAATGTTGAAGTTATACATATATGAATGGTAAACTATATATAATTGTTCATAAAATAAAAGAATGACCCCAGGTTGAACCATATGTAGTTACCAATATATGATTATTTTTAAATTAGGAAAATGTAATTTCATATAATTTAATCCACAGCAAGGCCAGGCACACCTAAAATTACACTGAGTTTCAAAGGGAAAAGCAGGAAAGGGATTTCTGGGGGAGTCATTTCAATGAAAACTATGCAAGGGAGAAACAAGCTATGTTAATAAGTAATAGTTCTAGTTCTCCTTTCTCATTCATCTTGATATTAACTACCTCCTGAAATTTTTTCTTTTGCTAATATCACAGTCATTTTCTTTTCCTTTTAAAAATTTAGTATCTATATTCTATTATAATCTTGAAGTGCATAATTTTTTATAATTCTGAACTTTAACAAATAATCTCAACTTCACACAGCTATGCTTGTACTAGGATGCCTCAAGTGTGGCTTATATTTTCTATTTTGTTTGATAATGGCAACCATTTAAAATTGGTCACCCATATTTATTGAAGCTTATACTATTTAAATATCTAGAATTTTCTATATTTTCTTCCAAATGTCTTATATACATTGTATACTTCAAGTCACCAGTTCTCAGTAATATATTTTTTACTTTTTAAACTATGGTTTTTATTGGTCCATATTTATCATGCATATTGATTACATTCGTCATAGGGAATTTGTAGGGCTAGGGAGGTAGCTCAGTGGCTTAAGCACCTGCCTGGCAAGCACAAGGTCCTGAGTTCATTCTCCAGCACAAAAAAAAAAAAAAAAAAAAGAGGGAATTTGTACATGTACATATTATATTTTAATTCTTTTTTCCCTTTTCCCTCCCCTCTTATCAACCCTTTTCCCCTCTTCATTTACAAAAGCTTTGTTTCCATTGTTTTCTTCTCTTGTCTTTCCATTTTTCCCTTTCTTTCTGTCACTCTCACTCCCTTGTTGACCTTACCATTTGAACAAGTTCTTCCCAACACCTATCCTCCATTATGTTTCCTGTTTTCTCTCACCCTGGGCACACAAGTTTAAATATCAGTCATTTTTAGTTTTCTAATATTTATTATAAATTTTAAATAGTCCATTTTTTTCAATTGTTATTTTTTTTCTTCTCCTACCCCCCAACCTGATAGAACTCATAAATTTGCTATTGAGGGTCACCATTTCCACTCAGCCCCGTTCTAAAAGTACTTTCTTTCTGGAGTTTTTCAAATATGTTCATAGTCATTGTTATCTCACTAGCTTAAATGATTTTTTCTGGATATAGTGGCCATTCCGGTAAGCCCAGCACTGGAGAGGCTGAGCTCAAGGGATCACTGCAAGTTTGAGGCCAGTCTTCACTACGTAGTGAGTATAAATGATTTTGTGAAGGAAAACATGGCATCTTTTTTTCAAAGTAGGTTTGGTCCTCTTGTTACAATCAAAACATACACTATTATTTTGAACTTAGTTCTTCAAAAATAAGGAGAAACTAGAACTAAAATTTTAAGGAATAAACTTCTAGTTTTATTTAGTGCTGTGGTCACACAACTTTGTGCCTAAAGAACACAATACTGCATTCACCTAAAGAGGTAGTTGACATTAGGGTGCTCTGTGGCTTGACTCTTTTGGTCCCCTTAAAGGTGACATGCTAGAATTCTAACCTAAAAGTGATAGTATGAAGAGGCCAGGCCTTCGCGGGATGATTAGGAAAAGGGTAACACGTTTATCAGTGGACCGGTGCTCTTACATCAAAAAGCCCCAAGGGGCTCATTTGTCCCTTCCATGTGAGGACAGTGTAAAAATGCCATCTGTGAGTCAAAAAGCAGGCCCTCTTCAAGCCCAAGTCTTCCAGCACATTGATCTTGTTCTTCCCAGCCTCTTGAGCCATGAGAGATAAAGTTATGATGTATGTAAGTCTCCTACTTTGTAGCATTCTGTGATAGCTGCCCACTTGAACAAAGAACTAGTTAATATTAAACACTAGGGGAAAGAGAAAGGACATTTTATGTCAAAATTGAAATATTTGACATTTTAATATTTATTAAATAAAAAAACAATTTTCATATCTCCACAATTTTGTGCTTCCAAATTTTTGATAAGTATATTATTAATAGACATTTGCTGAAACCAGGAAAACAACATAATCTTTAATGACATGCCATTTGGGGAAGAATAAATCATTTTCTGTAAATAAAGTAGTAGAAAATTTAACTTTCAGGTTATATGTTATTTAAAGAAAGTATAATTTGGTTATAAAGAATGGCTTTGCAATCACCCAGTAGAAATTCAAACTATCCCTCATTCATTGTAGTTGAATTGCTGTGGACAAGTCCATTAACTCTTGTGAGTCTTAGTTTTCTTATGTTTAAAATATTAATGATAAAACCTGCCTATTCTGGTCATTATGAAGATTAAAGCTTTTATACATGAAACATCTGTCGCTGTGCCTAGTACATATTAGTTAACTAGTAAACCGTAGTTCAGTTAAGTTGTTTGAAAGTATGCATGGGGCACAGCAATTCCTCAATAAATTTATGTTTTATTACTATTAGGAAAGTCTATGGAGTGAGCCAGAAGCACTATTAGGCCAGTAAGTCATTACTTTTAGGATTTAGTAACCTCTGGTCAGTTAACTTTCAAAATCCTTTATGTTTTATTCCCTTTTTCATCATTCATACTCTCAGTAAACAACACAAAATTCCAACCTCCCCTGGAATTTACAAACTACATAAAAATACTAACAAAAAACACACTATTGTAAATTTTATTTAATGTTATGAAGGAAAAAAGGCAACTGTGAGAGATTAATACAGTGGACCCAAGAAGATGCATTGTAGTGTCAAAGAAGATTTCCCTAAGAAAGTGTTGTCGGACTTAAAAGACAAAGAGAAATGAAAAAAGAAAATCAAATTTCGGAACATAAGGATAAATGAAAAATGATATGTCACAAGAGACCAATAGAAGTTATATTCTCACTGAGGACCTTAAAAATCTAATAGATGGAAAATGGAATAAGATGAGGCTACAGAGGTCGTGAGGACACATCCATGTCTGTACAATAAGATACACAGCATTTAGTTTATTATAAACATCTTTATGTTCTGCCTCTGAAGAGTATAAGTAAAATGTGATCTGACTTGTAATTTTAAAAAATCACTAGGGATTTTTGGTAAAGGATGGAAAAGTGAGAAAAGTTTTAAGACTATCTTGCCTCCTCAAAAACCCACCAAACGTAAAAAAACAAAAACAAACAAACAAAAACAAAAAACAACAAAAAAACACTAAAAGAAGGAAAATGCATTTTGAAACAAAAGACCACAGTCACAGACCACCAAGTATGAAGGTATCTGCCAAATACTGAAAGAATTTCAATTACAAAAAGATGTTGAGAGGTGACCAAAAACAAAGACACAAATATCTCAGAACCCAAACGCTGAGATCTAGCTTCAATTCTAGCAAGCCTTTACTACAGTGATGATGTTTAAGGGGATGGGCAAGCCACAGAAGGAAAAACACATGAGCTAGCCAAGACCTAATTGCAAAGAGCCAAGAATAAGCAATGTTGAACTCAAGAGAGACAACTCATCATCTTTATGATCTACGACTGAATCTAAACATAGGGGATTTCTGGTGTCGAGAGGGTATAAAAGGCAAGAACATAAATCACCATATCATTTCCCAGAGAACGCAGGGTATGAGGATTAAAAAAATTGCATATGAAAATGAGAGGTGACTTGCCTCAAAATTGGTAGTAGAAAAAAATAGATATAGCAACAAAACAAATATTTTAAGGCAGTGCTTAGGACAGTATGTGGATTTGATTTTGTGTACTGCTCCACCTTCTTCGACATAACCTCTCGCTGTACTATTGCAAAAGAGCTCAGGTCGTGTTACCTTTATTTTTAAAATTGCAATGACCAAAAATTATCTGGTGTGGGCC